AGTCACAGAAATGCCTTAAAATGCAAGGTTAAAACCTTTTCTTTTCAATATTGCATTTGATTAAAGCCAAGGGTCTATTAGTGCAGGAGGATGTTTACCACTGTTTCTATATTCTTATATTTCTATATATGTTTATAGATTTTGATATTTACATATTGAAGACGAGGAGGAGGAGGAGGAGTTCCTGCAGGAGGAAGAGGGCCTTGGAGCAGGAGACCAGGTTGATGAAGATGACAAATCAGATCTGACTGAAGAAGAGGGAAACACAAGTTCCCCAGGAGACAGATGGAAACAGATGAACAAAGGGGACGTCAAAAATGGACATTCAATTGCAATCTTTGGACGTGAACAGAAGACAAAGGGGGGTTTAACAGACAGAAAGGACGGCAGTGCATGATTTGTTATTTACTTGAATGACTTTGTTCTATGGTTCTGTTGGGGACTGCAGGTGTAGGAATGAGACTGAAATAATAATAACAACAGTTGACATGAAAGAAAGAATAAAAGTATTACCAGAATCACAGAGCCATGACCTCAGGAGAGACGGATATTAAATGTGAGCACACACACGTACAGTGACAGATACATGAAGCCATCAGCTTATTACACATAGATGTACACAGCCTGAGGCTCATCTGAACACGCAGCTTGTGTGGTGTTCTCCCCCCAGGCTTCTGGAATCTTCTTAATGAATTCCCAGTGTTTGTCAGCAGCTGGTTCTTCTTCTGCTCGTCTCTCTCGTGCACCTGGAACCGCTGTTGGTGGTAGAACCAAACAATGGAGGCTCCGTCTGTATAAAAATAATAATAATAATAATTTAAAAAAAGTACAGTTACAAATTATATCATTTTATTTTACAGTCCAGGAAGTGCGCTTGGGCTCGCTTGCCTGCGATAGTCGCCAAATACACATCACATTACATCTATGGGCTCTCACTAAGCTAGCAGCTGCCAACTCCACTAATGGCTGATGAATAATGCATCCTGTGAGAGTAAGAGGCAGAGATGAGCTGTGTGTCGTAAACTGATTAAATCCACTGCTAACTTAATCATTCAGATGTTTAAAAAAACTGGTTGACAAGTGGACAAAAAGTGGGGACAGGGGGGTGGGGGGGGGCACTGAGACAATAAGATTACGATTAATCACGACTAATCCACAGCTAACCTGCGATCGATGTTTATTTTTATTCTACAGTGACGACGCTCACATTTATGTTCGACAATAACATAGAGAAACTCGGCTCCGACAAACTGTTAGAACCGGTTCTTATATTCAGTAGACAATCTAGAACAGGCATGGGAAAAACTAAGGCCCGGGGGCCGGATGTGGCCCGTTCAGTTTTGTAATGCAGACCGCCAAACTTTTCCGAATTATAGAATTTATTTATATTTTCATTATACTTCTGCCTTTTTCCCTGCAATACCCATGTTTCCCCAATAGATGGCATGGAAAATGATCAATCAATACAATAACCACAATAAAAAAAATAAAAAAACCTAATAACGCCATACCAAATTTGTAAATATGTTTCATACACACATATATAGACATATATTTTTCTAGAAAAGAAATAAACAAAACTTACAAAAAAAGTACAGTATGTTATTGTCCATGTCCAATTAGAATACTAGATAACAATACAAAATTACATAATATGTTACATACTAAGGTAAATATGTCATCTATATATTTTATCTAATATACATATATATGTATACAGTGTTCCCTCTCTATATCGCAGTTCTCCTTTAACTCCCCATGTACATCGCAGATTTTTTTTTAATCCAATCTCACCAAATGTTCCCTATATCTCGAAATATAGCAAAAAATAAACTAAAAGACATTATGAAATAGTTATACATATGAAAGTTTTGGCTTTAAAAATGTGGATTTTCGTCCAGAAATTGATATAAGCGCGTTTGCAATCGATGGTTGCTTTGTTTATTATCGAAAGAAAAAACGATAACGAATCCTACAGATATTACATAATATGCTAATGTCGGGCCGATAGTATTGGTCGGTAGATATTATCGGACATTATCCCTAATATATACATTATCCCTAATGTCGGGCCGATAGTATTGGTCGGTAGGTATTATCGGACATCCCTTAAATATACATATATGTGTATATATGTACATATATAAATATATGAGAGACAGAAAGAGAGAGAGAGCTTCTCATAACCACCTCTGTTTGGAGAGAAATATTCGTACTAAAGTAATGAATTGAACTAACTAAGACAAATGTTCATTTAAAAATATATATATATATATCGCTAACATACTGGTGTCGTTACTCGTACAGCGTTGCGTGGTCCACATGTCACCTCAGAGTGAAACTCATTGATCTGCAGAGATCCATGGAGGATCTGAGAGTCAGGTTTACTGTATATCAGTGTAATGGTTCCCAATAATGACAGCTAATGATTGTTGTTCATCTTCTTTTATTAGCCAATTCCTTCCTGTGTTAGAGATAAGCACGCTGCACACACACACAGTGTATGCTGTGTGTGTTCAAGAGTGAGAATAAAGATTAGGACATTTGTTTAATAATTAATGATCGGTTTGTCTAATGGATTTGTTCTTTTGTTGCCGTGGAAAAAAAAAAAAAAGAGTTCTGGAGATACGTTAATGTCTTTACTCACAGGATCGATCGAAAATAAAATAAAATCACTAAGGCAGGATCGATCGAAAATAAAATAAAATCTCTTCAAGAGAAGATTAACAAGACTTAACAAAACAATGAATAAAGAAAGTAAAAATCAAATTTTCTAAATGACTGATTATATGATGATTATATAAAATATCGGGCCGATCGATATTATTGCTCGATATTAGCATATTATGTAATATCTGTAAGAATCGCTATCGGTTTTACCTCCGATAATGAAAACCCAATAACGCAATGCCTGGGTTTCGCCAAATGATGCGTGCCCTAAAAATAGTTTTGGGGATAAACGGCTGTATATTAAAGTGAATGTCACTAGATGGCAGCGTTGCAGCTCATTTAATTCATCACATACTCATACAGTGGTTTGTACTGATAAATAAATATAAATAAATATTACCAGGCCTGTATCGGTTGATATCGGAATCGGAAATCAAACGTTTGGACATATCGGGATATCGGCAAAAAGTTAATATCGGACATCCGTAACAATTACGTATAACTGATTTCAAATGTAATCTGTAATACAGCCTTGACGTCGTTCATGATACTTAAACTAAGTACTTTTAATTTTCCTTTCCGTTACGAAACAACTCGCGTGCAAAAGCAAAAGTAAAGCTGTAACACGATACTTCATCCCTGTAATTCCTGTGAGTGCCCAGTGAGAGTCAGTCATCCTCACTCCCCCCTCTGTCAGGGGTGAGACACTACAAGATTATTTATAATTCAGTGAAGAGACCAAACCAGCGGAGGCTTCCCTACAAATTGCACAGGTTTGAAGCTACAGTTGACGTCAGTGTCCGAAGTCGGGGACATAAGTCGACCTGGACGTAACCCAAATGCATATTGTATATTGAATTTTTTTTTTTTTTGTGCTTGCAATGATGATTTAAATTCACATCATTGTACCAAACACTCTTGAATGACGAGCCTTCCTCCTCTCTGTGTGTGTGCGTCTCCAGTCCCCCTCTTCATCAACAGCGTTTTAATTGCTCTGGGTCCAGGAATGTGCCGTCATTCAGCGAGTCCTTATTAACTCAATTGGTTGCAAAAATATTCACACAAATTGAATGTAGTCAGCAGAGGGCTCAGAGCAACCTGAGGTACACGGCACGGGCTACACACCACCGGACAAAGAATCAGGCCTGAGCATCGGATAATTTATGATGCCAACGCAGGGACCCATGTGCAGGGACTGCCTCATGCCCAGGAGCTGCTTCTCACTACTGAGGGTGTAATGTAACAGTCACGATAACTTCGGTTTGCAATGTGCGAAATGCTCTTCTTCTAACAGCCCGTTGATAAACATTGACAACGAAAACGTTGCAGCGATTGATATTTGTATAAAGATCGTAGATCTGGCTTTACGGTACGGCTTAGCAAAGTCGGCGATTTGTACCATCATTAAGAACAAGGCAGCAATAAAAAGAAGCTAAGGTTGCCAAAAAGAGTGACTGTGATTATCAAGCAAAGATCTCACACATTAGAAGAAAAGAAAAAGTTGCCAGTGATTTGGATCAACAAAAAGCAGTTGGCCGACGACGGTATTTCGGAGACGATAATTAGCGAGAAAGCGAGGCGAACGTTGCGCAATCATGACTGCTCAACACTTTTTTGTTAGATCAGTTTTTTTTTCATTGGTCCAGGAACCGATTTTGAATCATTTTTACGTTGATTCCTATGGGGAAAATCGTTTCAGTTTTCGATCGATTTGGTTCACGAACGGCCTTCAGGAACAAATTAGGTTCGAAAAAACCGAGGTTCTACCGTATTATTTGTAGTATTACGGCATATGTGAAAATTCATCTCAACTACTTTTCTGTGAATCCGTGACCTTGTACTAGTTTTATAAATATTAATTATTTAAATATATGAAGTGGGCAATTTCATGTAATGGAAGTGAGAATAAACCTTCTATATATATATATTTTTTTTAAAATGGCCTATCATCATGTTGAAAATGTCATTTTTGTCATTCCGATGTCAATTGGGGTAATCGTAATTTGGCAGGCTGTAATTTTCATTTCTCTCGCCGTCTTAAACACTTCTCAGTGTGAGGGTCCTTTAAAAAGACGATGATACGCTAAACCAGACCATTAACCCTGACACTGCTGAAGGGCTAAGTAAACAGCTGACAGGATGCAGAGGGAAGCGTGAAGCAATTAAGCAATCTTCGAGCCATCACGCGCTCTCCAACGAGGGCAACTCTAATCACCACAGCAGTCACAGATGGAGAAAAGCCGGACGGTCACTGCAGTGTTGACTAGTGACCAGATATGTCGTGATTGAAACGCGAATATAGAAGACGATGTGCACACGGATCGCAGTTACTTTGTCATTCCACTAGGGGGCCACATCAGTTATCAACGTCCAATACAAAAATAACCCTGACTCCAGTTGTCAAAATATAACATGGCTTTCACTGATTCACCAATATGTCCAAACCATCTCAATCAGGGATGTCCGATAATATCATAATTAAGTAATATCTAAGAATCGTTTTCGTTTTTTTTCCTTGGATAATGAAAGCCCCATAATGCAATGCCTGGATTTTGGCAAATATGCTAGAATTTTATGTAGGGTCTTGAGACGTTTACCTCAGTTCCTGGGGCCAACGGTTGCATATAGTATCGGTATCGGTAGATATCGGAATAAACAATTAAGTGTTTGGACAACATCGACATATCGGCAAAAAGTTAATATCCCTAATCTCTAACTTTATCTCCAAACGGCCCCACCTTCTACCCTCTGGTGGTCACTCCCAGCATCTTCGCATCTGCAAGACGCTGAGATTCACAACAGAGTTAGCCGTGATGTCAAACAATGTTTTCATTAGCACTAATCAATACCAGAGATCGATCCACAGGTGGCGCTAGACCAGCAGAGCTTATGTTTCCGATGAGCAAGTTAATTACAAAGTGACAATGAAAGGAAAGACAAAAAAAGAAAAAAAAAATCACTCCCTGCTTTCCCATACAGTCGCGGTTTCTCCGTTCCTCGCCTCTCTTTTCCTATTTTCTCCTCTCCTCTCGTCCCCCCCCCTTTTTGTCCCCCCTCTCCTCTTCTAGCCACTCCACATCTGCGGTTTTCTCATCTCGTATTCTCTTCCCCTCTCTTCTTCCTTCCTCTCTTCTCATAACTTCTTTTCTTTCATCCCCTCATCTCATCTCTTCCCCTCCTCTCTCCTACATCTCCTAAGCATTCGGAGCTGGTGGAGAGAAATCTGATCATACAGAGTGTGAAATCAGTGTTGTTCCGAGGCATGCAGCAAGTTTTGTGATATTTCTTAATTAATTTTCTGTATTTGAGTGTGTGTGTGGATACGGGGGTCTCATTCTTCTCTGTGTGCAGCTAAGGGTCCAGGTGTCTTGTTCATATCCCACTCGTAGCTGAATTAATTGGGATTTAAGTGTCACCGTTGCCGCTGCCGCTGCACCGCCTCCACACACTGACGTCAGCACATCTACATGTTGCAATTCATCGGTGACCGGTGAAAGAGTGAAGTTTTGTTGGGACACACTCAGATGTGTGGGTGTGTGTGTGTGTGTGTGTAGTGGCAATGTTGTGCTGACATGATTAAACTAAGGCTTGATTATTAATTACAGTACAGCAGCAGTCCCCAACCTTTTTTTTTTCCCCCCCATCGCCACCTAGTGTTAAGGAGTGTAAATAGAGTTTAATACAGGCTTCAAATGGATGCAGATGCTTCTTGAAACACAAAATGACGTGTATCGACTGTGTAGATAAGTAACGCATTGATGGCTGGTTGGGTTATTTATTATTAGAGATGTCGAATATTAGCTTTTTGCCGATATCGTCCGAACACTTAATTTCCGATTCTGATATAAACTGAAACCGATATATAGATATATAGAAGAGGTAGTGGTGGCCTGGTGGTAAAGGAAGTTAAGTGCCGCCTGCTCACTAAGGTGATGGGTTAAAGCCATGCCCCTAGTGGACAGAAGTTTTTCACCCGCGCCCCCATCATTTCGCGAAACCCAGGCATTGCGTTATCGGTTTTTCAATATCGGAAGAAAAAACGATAACGATTCTTGCAGATATTACAAAATATGCTAATATCGGGCCAGTAATATCGGTCGGCCGATATTATTGGACAACCCTATTTAATATACATCACAGTGCATGTCATTCTGCCCATGTTAAAATGCATTAAAATTTAAAATCTGCGTCATCAATTTTTTTTTTTTTTCATATTGAATTTTTATCTTAGCTGAAGAAATAGCTGCTAAATTAAAAAAAACAACAAACATTTGGACCAGCAGCTTGTGACCTTAAAAAGGTAAACAGAGATATTCTTATAGAAAGTACAGTACGCAACGTTCCTGATCGCACAAGCCTTCTGCTGGGCACAGCATGACACAGGGGAGGAAAGCTGCTCACATAATGGAGGGTTCAGGAGCAGCTCAGCAGCAGGGGAGAATCCACTGATCAATTTCTCAAAACGGCGAACGATCGGTTGAAAAAAAAAAAAAAGTATTAGTAAATATTAGTAATAATAGTAATTCTATTCACGATTGTTGGAGTAGTAGTAGTGACCATAAACAAACCAGTGACCTTCTCGCTATAAGGCAAGACCACCAACCACTAGTCTAACCTGTGCCAAGTGTAAACCGAAGGACAAAAAAAAACTTTTTTTTCTTAATTGCATGTAATCATATATTAAATAATTAGCAACATTTTCTTCTTCTTCTACAAAGATGTTCCACTTCTGAACAAGCTGTTCAATGATAATGCAGAAGCCCTGCCTGAACACCCACCCGCTGCTCGTGGGAGACTTTCAGCCCAGCTTTCGTGGATGTGTCATTTTTGCTTTCTTTTTTTTTAAGCGAGCGTCTAATCCCACAGTGGGAAAAAAGTTATCCGACCGTTGCCCCACAGAGGCCAATTAAAGCCGAGCTTTAACCGAGTTTAATACGGGGTTCACGAAGATATGAGGAAAAAATAAATAAAAAAGAGCTGAACTCGTCCAACGGAGATGTAAACAAAGAATATTTTATGATATTTCAGATGAAGTTTAGTTGATTCCCCTGATGTCTGAGTAATTAACATTGATGCTGAAGTGGTTGTTTCACAAACCTACATTGATGCTGAAGTGGTTGTTTCACAAGACGAAGAAGTAGAACTATTAAATACTCTGTTGTGGTACATTTAAATTAGTCGTTTTTTTAAAATATATTTCTGTGTTCTGATAACCAGGCCGCACCATTTCACTGCTACTCTGGGTGGGTGGATGGATGATGATGGATGGAAGGAAGGATGAAGGATAGATTGATGATGGATGGATGGATGGATGATGGATAGATGGATGATGGATGGATGATGGATGGATGGATGATGGATGATGGATGGATGGATAGAAACACACCCATGTTCAGTGTCATCTCTTATATCGTTATGTCTGTTTGTGCTTGTGCGTCTGTGTGTTTGAGTGTAAGAGAGAGAGAAACCTGTGAGACATCACGGCTGAGACGAATTAAATTTGCATTAATCCATGGATGCATTATTTAGTGTGTTTGTTAACTATGCATACTTTAGCAAATGCCCTCAGTGTTTTGGTTCTCAACTGACTGGCAGAGTAATATCAGCGTGTCCCCTTCCATGGAACACTTTCCCTATCATCCGTTTGAATCAGCAGTGTACAATGACTACAGTATTAGTTCTTCTCTCGAAACGGTGGATAAAATACCGCTCTCCAAAAGCGTTTTGTTACAAACGTAGCTACAGTGTTTGAATACGAAAAAAAAAAAAAAAAGAATCCTGCTTTAAAACCGTTAATATTTATATATAAAAATAAATGTTAAAGAGCCAAGAATATAACCTTGCAGGGCCTCCGTGTTGTTTTCTTTTTGTGCCGTTTCTAAATAATAACGGGGGCTAAAGTGGTGCAGTGAGGTTAGCTATTAGTTCAGTAAACGACAGGGAACGCGCTAATGCTTGGTAAAGCTGCAAATCGAAACCATCAACCAACCACCAACGACGACCGCATCGTCATCGTCATCTTCCTGCGCTTCAGCAACGCGATTACTGAGGACATTACGAGCTCTGGTCAAATTAGAGCTGTTGTCGGTCACTGCTCTCACTGAGCTCTAACTGGGATAAGGAGCAACTATCAACACGTCGTACAGGGCAACCTTCGGGATTCGCAGCAGCCGAAAAATCCACCAACTCAATGAAGCCACATTTTTAGTTACACTTTTGCGTATTCTTCCTGCACATTTTCCCCATATTAATAATTCCTTAAGTTGTATTAGACAAATAAAAACATTTCTATTGATTTATAGTCCTGCCTTTTTATGTCCAGTTCGTTCTGGTCACATCTTCAGACGTTTTCCTCGTCACCTTAGAGAGATAAAAAAAACATTATTAACATTTAATATCAAATAGTGTAACAAACATTCTAAATCATGGGTGTCAAATATAAGGCTCGAGGGCCAAAACCGGCCCGCTGGGGGGGTTCAATCTGGCCCGCTTGATGAATTTCTAAAGTTAGAAAATGCACAAACACTTCACGTACGTGATGTTTTGTCAAATTATATTTCATTAAATATGAAGATTTTCTAATCAATGTTAATTTATTTGCATGAAAACAAAGCAAGAAAACATGGGACTTATTATTGTCATTTATAGATAATTATGTTATGATTTTACTGGTGCGGTTATGAACCAAAATGAGTTTGACATCCCTGCTCTAAAGCATTGTTTCCCAAAGACTGGGTCGCGACCCTCAAGTTGGACGCAAGAGATTTTTTTTTTGGGGGGGGGGGGGTCGTCTCGCATCACGTTTCCAAGAAGTTCATGAATAATATCTAATATTGGGTCGCGAAAGTTCGTGACTTTTAAAATACGCGTCCCCAGAAAAAAAAGTTTGGGAAACACTGACCTAAAGCATAGAGATCGAGTAATCGTATTGCGTGATCAAAATATCATCAAATATTAAACAGCTTGTACTTAAGTACTTGAAGATTAGACCTAATGACATTTTTAATGACAGATGCTTCACACCGGGGGTGTCAAACATAGGGCCCGTGGGCCAAAAAACAGCCCGCTAGGTTGTTCAATCTGGCCGGCCCACTTGACATCTAATCAGGCCGTATGTGGCCCACTGAACCAAAATGAGTTTGACACCCCTGACCTAAACGAAACTTTTTTTTTTGCTCCAGACGTGTGCTTACGGAAACTCTAGGCTAACAGGACACAGATTATCCGCCTACACTGGAAGATGAAAATGATCCGTTCAACCGGTCGCCTCCAGACACACAGTATCAGTTACACATGTGCAAAATCACGCAAAGTCGATGTACTTCACGTACAAACCTGAGGAACATTTCGCACACACGCTGCCTCCCACACCACACGGTTAATTAATTCTAATTTGAACGGCCGTGGCCTCACCTCCCACACTCGTGTCTTCTGATGGTGCCTGGAGAAGACGCTGCGGCACCTACAAGTGAGAAACACAGCAAGACTCCCGGAGTAAAAATAGCAGGAAATATGAAAGTATAAATCTGAGTGAGTTGTTGTGATTGGAGAAGAAGTCGTCGCTCGTGAGTGACAGCTGGGACTGGCGGCCCCGGAGTTCATCTGGCAGATAGAAATGTTGAAATGAACCCTGGCAGAATTATGGGAAATATAAGGAAGTACTAAAACATCAGTGACAGCACACGGCCCAACAGTGTCACGACAGGAGGGCAACTAAATTGTATGCAGAAGCACAGAACTTTTTGTTCTATTTTGTTTTATTTCTTTGTGTAATTATTCGATTGTAGGCCAATATGGCGATGATTTTGCTGTTTAAAAAAAGGTTGGGGACCGCTGCTTTAGAACACCGATCCCCAACTTTTTTTTTTTGTTCCAAGAACTGCTTAGCAGGTACTGGCCGGAACCACAGATACTGGTACTGTTGTGCCGATCTCTAAAGGATCATTACAAGATTGTTAAAGGATTGGATTTACATTTTCAAAAGAAAACATACTTTGTCTGAAAGACGTTTTATTTTGAAAAATTGACCGGTTAACTTGAAAGGGAAATGACTGGATTCTGTCTAAATTAAGTCAATAAATAATTCTTTCTTTGGAGAATTATTATATATTTATTTACAGTATATTTCATTATCATCAAAAAGGCACTTATTGTTAATTATAGTCAATTAGGTTATGGGGGTTATGATTGAAACAAAATGAGTTTGGAACCCAAGTGTGCCCTCTTGTGGTCACTAGGGTATGACAGAGTATAATATAAGGGGTAGAGCTTCTTTTTTTTTTACCTAACAATCTGTTCTCTGGAAGAACTAGCTTCTAATGTTGGTTTGGACGTTGACATTTAATACTATATTAATGTCACATTTTATACTGTTATTAATGAAAGTAATAAAAAATATAAAAGTATCAGTATTTGGTGTCCTAATTAAAGGTGTGGTTGTAATAGATAGAAATTCGTGATATACTAAAAATTGAAGCAAATGTAGGTAGATTCTATTCTGTAGCTAATATAAATGTTAAGGGAGAAAGAGAAGGGAGGCGCGCGTGACATCTTTATTTCCGAACGGTCATGACTTATTTCCAAGAAGGTCGACTTTATTGCCTATCGATCTGAAATGGCCAGTTTTCTGCACTCCTGTGAGGGATGTGCGAGAATATTTATTTTTTTGGTTGACGGAGGTGAGGAAAAAATTAAAACAATACCCTTTGGACCCGCAGCTAAATGCTAATGAATTTTATTACTCAACAAATAAGCAGTAAAAGTAAAAAAAACAAACACAGTTGAATTGTTGAAATGCCCTACGCACATGCACGCACCCATAAACAGACGCGCGCGCGCGCACACGCGTGCAGAGCAGGGTATAAAAGAGACATCCTTCCCACTCAACACTCAGTTCTCTCTTCACTCTCACCCTCTCCTGAGTAGACGAAACCTCCTTTTTCATGGTAAGACATTTCTTTTACTATAAGAAAGTATTAAGAAATTTTAAAAAAAAAGTGTATTTTGATAGTTTTGCTTCTATTTTTTTAAATTAATTTTAAAATTAATATTAACTAAATAATGCGTAATGTTATTGATTTTGGATTTTTTTTGGAATTTTTTTCCTGAATCAAAAAATTGAAAGTCCGATTTTTTTCCTACGTATATTGACACTATGTCTAGTTTCACCTGCTGATTGTTGGTTGGTTTTGAGAATGCAAGTTATTCTGCAGCCCTGCACGTATTTTTGTATCTGCTGCTTTGATTTTTAGCGCTGAAGGAAAATCATTTTTGCGACGGAGTCGGTTCAGAATTTTATCTGTTGACCTCACTGTCTCTGTCTCTCTCTCTCTCTCTCTCTCTACCTCTCTCTCTGTTACCTGTATTTTGGTTTTCAGATGACCGGGGGTCTGTGTGTGTGTGTCCTGCTGGTAGTCCTGTGCAGAAGCTGCTTGGGGTTACCGTACTCCTCTCAGCCTCTGGGTGAGGGGCAACACTCCAGCTCATCTGCGTATGAAGGTACAGTAAAAAAAAAGAGAGAAAAAAAAAGGCAAACACAAGCCTATAGTGAATACATTCACTAATGACACGCGTACATGTTTGTGTCTGCGTTTGTGTGAAAACAGCTCACCTTGACGCTGACACCCACGCTCTAGGAGCACACCAACTCCAACAAAGTCACTCTATCCCCCATCTGAAAGCTCTTCCCGCGGCCGAGGGCGACGAAGACACGCGGGCCAACCTCAGCGAGCTACTAGCGAGGCTCATTTCCTCCAGGAAAGGTGGGCGTCCCTTTGTCCGAAAATGCTTATCCTTACAAACTCTGGAAGGACCTAATGGGTTAAGGAGTAGTTGCGGATTATGAAAAAAAAACAAAAAAACAACAATAATATTTACAAGAAAAATCCATTTGCAGAGACAAAAAGCTCTTTATGGTTCTGTTCTTTGCTGATTACTGGCATCAGTTCAGAGCCAGCTTTGTAAAAATGAATTAGCGGCTCTGAAAAAGCTTTTGTGGTCAGAAAAAGGCACGTTTTAGTGTGTACGCCTTCCGGTCATCCTCTTGGCACAATCTGACATCCGTATTTCCTGCAATGTCTCAATTCCAGTCACTTTATTTTATCTTCACGAACAAAACCTCAGCAGCGCTGTGGTCAATAAAAAAAAAAATACAATTTGGAGTAAACAATTCACATTATTAAATATCGATCTATCTAGCTTAAGAATATGTACAAAAGTACACACACTGATATTGGTGATAATATTCCTCAATTATATCCAGCATATAAAAGGAAAAAAAAAAATTCCTAAGTATATTTCCAAAATATATTTAATATATTTATTTATATTTCCTCGTTTGTAAAATTGAATATATTTCAACATATCTGTTTCGCATGGGCAATCGTGAAGTTTAAGTCTCTCAGAGAAGGAAAAATTAAAAAATAAGCATGTTTTCTATCAGACAGTAAAATCCATAAAGTGCGTAGGTTGTGGGTGTATGTGTGTTTCGGTTAAAAAAAAAAAACAAACTTCAAAAACTCACGCGCTCACTGCTCACTTGCACGTCTCAGTGTAGGCGGTGTGATCTTTCGGCATCTTCTCTACCCATCAGGGAAATAAGTGTGTGTGTGTGTTTGAGTTCACTGCAGTGTGAGTGTAAAATAGCACACACACACCTCTATCACTTCTCAATCTCGGCAACTTTTTTTTCCTCCCCAGCTTCTGTGCGCAGAAATTCCACAGCCAACAGCAGGGGCAGCGCCAACCATCGAATAGCAGACAGAGACTACATGGGCTGGATAGATTTTGGCCGCCGCAGTGCAGAGGAGTACGAGTACTCCTCATAAAAAAAAATAAATAAAAAAGAGAAGGCCATCTAGGAGAAGAGAAGAGAAGAAAAAAAAATGCAGATGATGACTCTTCGCTGTCGCATATACGAGATGCATTGTTGTACATTTGTTTGTAAAACTGTAATGATGCAATATTCACATGCCAAATGTTGGGGGAAAAAAAAAAATTCTTTCACTGTCTGTGTTTTGTAGGTTTCTGGTTTTCTCTGGTTTTCTTTATCATTTTCAGCTGAAAAAGGACAGAAATGTTTCCAAGTCTATTGATTGATTGATTGATTAAAAATTGAAAATAACACCCGTCTGCAAATCCATTCCTTCAATGCGGGATCACTCTAGTAGCTAAATGCTAAATGCTAACATGAAATAGCGTCGTATGTTGTTGTGTATTTTTCTTTTATATATAAAACACACAACATTTCACAATCCCTAATTCATGCATTTATTTTGAAAGGACATACTTTATATGACAAACGTCGTACAGTATGTCCTTTCAAAATAAAGGCTATCGTCAAACGTCCTTTTACTTTTGAAATGAAGTTAAACATTTGAAATATGCAAAAACAAAAATATTAGTGAAATTATGAGGTCAATAAAAATAACATTAAGACTTGAGAAAATGTATTGGTGATGCTCATATAGTACATGGTACAATACAGAACTGGTTCATTCAAACTTTTCCTACCACAGTCAACACAAAGCTACTCGAAAAATGACCTAAAAAACTGAAAAAAAAAACCCCAAAACGAGAAAAAAAAAAAAAAAAGACAAAAAAAACTGTAGCATGAGCAATTTGGAGAGTCATTCAAATTTACTATTGAGTATTTGAGTATTGTAATATTCAAGGATAAGATTCCATCATGGGTAAAATAGTTCATATTTCCGCCCCGTTTTTCACTGGCAAATATTTAGATTTTTTTTTTTCCGCCTAATTAAACTGGAAAAAGTAAAAACTTTCAGAGACTAAATGAAAGAGATGCTGTCGCGGGGTTTAATCAAAAGACTTTTCAACGACACTGTCAAACAGTTTTCACATCACTGTGAATGATGAAGCAGCAGCCTGCCTCCACAAGTGTGGACCATCTCAACCTTTAATGTCAAATGATGGAGAAATGACGGACAGCCTGCGTGCGGAGATTAAAAAACTTGCCTGATCTAGCCTTTTAGAAAAAGAAATGTTCAGATGGTTTCATTACCTAGAGCGATCTGAAAAACCAACCCGTGGTAATCGGTGTTGACCCCAACACCTAGTCACTACTAACCTCATCACAAAAATGTGTTTTCATCACTAGATGTTGTGATAACAACTATAACGACTATGTCAGATGTTGTGATAACAACTATAATGACTATGTCGACTGTGAAAGACAGACTGCTTTTTAACCTTAGGGTCACGATAAGTGATGTCCGTTATTAACCGTTTGACGATATCCAATATGCCAATATTGTCCAAACACTTAATTTTCGATACAGCTATCAACCGATAGAGATATAAGCAGCCGTTTGCAACACACCACTGCACACGTGTCATTGTTCCTAAAGGGAACACCCAAGGGATTAATAAAGTTCTATCTATCCATCCATCCATGCATCCATCCATCCATCCATCTATCTATCCATTAACCACTGTATATTTTAATGCTGTATTATTACGCTAACATATTTTGAAAGTATTTATATGATTTTGAGTTAAAAAATGAAAGATTTCTTGAAATTTGCCTGACTAAAAAGCAGATCTATCCTTGACAGGCAACACCCATACGGTACAACGCGTACAAACCATTTACCCAATAGAACGATATCAAAGTAAAATTGGGTTTTCAAATTGAGGTCGTTTGAGTGTCTGGGCTGAAGGCAGGGATCAAGTCAAAAGGAAAATGTTCCTATTGTTATATCAAAGACATGATGGGGAAGATAGGTGAGAAAAGTTTCAATAAGTCAAGGACTAGTGGCTGTGACAGCAGGTAATACATAGTAGAGGGAAATTAAATGCATTTCATGTTAATACCGATCTATAAAATCCCTCATTTATACAGGTACATTATTTAGATTCAATTATTTAAAGAGTGAACATTTAAAATTTGTTTTGGCAATATAAGTCCTTCTCAGTCTCATTTCCATAAAGTGAAACTGCACTTTGGAAGAAGCAAAACTTCTCCACAGGCTGGAATGGTTTTGGTTTGTACTCATTTGCATATTAATTTGACAAAACACCAACTAATCTTGGAAACTGATGCTGCAGGATGGAAGGTTTATGGAGGCAAACAGAAAAGAAAAATTGTAAGGAACTTGTAGCCATTGATCCATTCAGCTAGTGGACACACATTTAAATACAGTAGATCATACATTAACTTATTTTTGCTCTACACGTAGAGCATCTCAGAGGAAATAACCTTGGCATGTTGAAGAAAGTTTAGTTTACATTTTTTTAAACTCCATTTGGAAATCAGATGTTTTGTATTTATTCTTAAAATATTTCTGCGCAAACAATCTGGGTTGCAGTTGCATTCACGTTGTGCACATTTAGTGCATTCCAGCGTCAATAGGTTCAAACTAAAGATCCAGTGAAAACAGTGAAAGACACTAATAAATAAAACAGGAAGGAGGAAAAGGTTTATAAAATAATATTGTCTTCCACTGATATCCAGGGCTGCACTAAATACAACAAATGGACAAATAAGACTATTGGCTTTCCTATGACTGCCACCTACTGGGCCTAGTTCTTACTGGAAAGCATTTTATACCAAGAACACGTCCTTCCACATAGAAAAGAAATAATAAAAAGGCAAAATACGGGCAAAAAACTGCATCTCTTTAAATGGCCAAAGTAATCTACACAAAGATACAACATTAGATATTTAATACTGAGTGTTTTTATGCACTTGTTCCCTTGTTGACATTAAGCTGACAGGCACCAACTACTGTATACCTCTATGTGCACTCTGTGCTCGCTTTTTTTCCCTGTGAATCTTTATCTGAAATTGAATTTAAAAGATGTCTACAGTGCATACAGTCAAGTAAGAGTACAGTTAAAGTGAACAAAGTAAATAAATAATAAGTTTAAAAAACTTAAACTACCTAAACCTGACAGTCTGCAAGTAAGATTGGGGGGGGAGTGTACTTCTTTAAATGACTATTAATGGAGAAGCTTAAAAACTCATTTGAATCAAGTTATCAACAAATGTCAGCCTCATTAGAACATTGTTTACAGCACAAACTACAGTTTTAAATAGGTCAGTTTATGTTCCATAAAGTTCCACATTACGCATCTACAACCCAAAGTGTGCTAGCTGCTATCATGAAACTTAGCAAACAGAAGAGTTTTTTACGATACATTATATATGCAAATTATCGGTCATTAATAACAATTACTATTCACTCCGACGTTAAACAAAGCAAAGGTAGGAAAATTTTACACGAACCTTCAGAATATTTGTGGTATCGGTTTCCCTCTTTTTGTGTTTCTCGTTCGAGTTTGTATAGAGTTTTACACTTTAATATAACTTTATGCGTACGCTTCTTCCTGTGGCTTCTTTTTCGGTTTTCCAAACTTCCGGTTTACATACTTCCGGTGACATTATGTAACAGGGTGGTCGTTGCAGTGCCACATACTGGGCACAATTTGGATGCACTTCAATGACTAATAATGATAAAAAAGGCAGTGTTTATTACGTAAGATGAACATTTTATAACGAAGCTGTTTCATTGGTCAGTTTGATAACTCGATAAATCGAAAATAAGACAGAAATTTAATATCTGCATCAATGACATTTTAAACATAGTTCATTGGGGTTTTTTGTTTTATTTATTTTATTTGTTTAATGGAAACAATGCATACTAATTAACATGTACATGTGAAAATACAAGATTACAGTGCAGAACTAATTTCCGTCTTCACTCCTTTGCCAGCCACGTAAAACAAACGAAATAATACTAATACAGGGGAAGAAGATTAAGGTGCAGAGTGATAAAGAGTATTATAATCCAAATAAAACAAAATAGCGCAGCGGTCATTTTGTTAAAGTGCAAAGTGCCGACAAATGCACATATTTAAATGTATGCGTACATGTACAAATAAAAAAAAAGAACCACACTGCTTTGGTCGTGTAAAGTGTAAGGTACATACATATATACATACATACGCACTAATATACACATACACATATACAGTGCACAGAAGTGCAGTACAGTATATGTGAACGGTAGATGTATATATACATATATACAGTATTCATACACACACATGCATACAGTACAAATTTAAACAAATGCACATCATCACATGTGGTCATAAATCTGACCAAACAATTGAATTTATGCATAATGATGAAAAAAGAACAGGAAAAAGCTTAAAGAGTTTATATCTGATTGTTGGAGCTGCTGCGACTGTCCATCAACTATGATTTGATTTTTAGATTTCTTTTAGAATTCTAATAAATTAACTGAGGATGAGTGATTATTTTTGGTTTTTATTTAGGAATTTTTAAACTCATCTGTATGTTGTTCCAACCATCCTGTCAGTGTCCAGCACGTCATACAGCACCTCATGTTTGTGACGACCAGCATCGCAATGTAGCTTCGCTGATTCAAATGCTAAATGATATCAAATTTATCTGAAATTGGACATATATAATTTCTCCACTTGTTGCCTGACGTGGAGTTTTGAATCAACGAAAACACGCAATTTGTTGAATTCGCGAACCACTTCCGAGTTTGTTGCTGTATCTCATCAAAACATGATCTCGTGTATCATAAATGTCGTGTGTTTCATTGTCTGCTTCAGTTCAGATGAGGAACACAAATATATAAAAAAAAATAAACACAAAATAAATATTTTTCAGTACATTACTACTTAGTGTAAGGTGCAGAGAAACAATTGTAATGAAAGTAGTAAAAAAAACAAAAGGTTTTCAACATAGAAATAACTAAGTGCAAAACACAAACCCAAGAGCTTCATACTCCAAAACATAACAAAAAAAATAAACAATATTTTTAACATAAAGGAAACTTAAGTGAAATTGTCCAAAGATTGGCAAACATTGACATTAATCGTTTTTTCTTTGTCTTTTATTATCAGCTGAGACATGTTTGTCTAAATATGTCAATTTCCTTAACATCTAAGAGCAGCTGTGGCTACATTTTTGAAGCTCCTGAACATATCGTGCAATCTCACACTCCTATAATGGCATTTTGAACGATATTTTAAAAGTTTGATTCTATTGGTTGTTACAGACCAGCCAGCGTTCCATCGATTTATTGTGTAAGGAAGGAAGGCAAGAGAAAAGGTGTTGCTGCATCGCTGCTAAGGCTAACATGTAAAAAAGCAGTTTTGGGAGATGACGACGTAACCACGAAACGCCGTAGGTTGTCGTAAACCGAGGACTCCCTGTATTTGTTTTGGAAATTCTTCCTAAATGAATCAGTTCCCCAAATTACCAAAAAGACCACTTACTATATATCACATGTGTCAAACTCAAGGCCCGGGGGCCAAATGCGGCCCGCCAAGCCGTTTTGTGTGGCCCGCGGGAGCTTAAAAAGCATTTAGTAAAGTCCATGCAGCAGAGTTTCTTAACCTGAGAAATGAAACGTTTTCTTTTTATTACACAGAAATGAACAATATTTGTAGTTTTTCACTGTGTCCCACCAAATTACCTATGGACTGGTACTGGTCCACGGACCGGGGGTTGGGAACCCTTCAAGGGGAACTGTATTGCTGATGTGGCCCCCGGTGAAAATGAGTTTTGACACCCCTGATTTATATAAAAAAAGATGTTAGTGTCCATATACAGTATATAGATCATTACATTGCTTTAATCGTAAAGTCACTGATAATCTAATTAGAACGCGTTGATGTAATTGACGATTAATGTTGGGATATTTGGCCATAAATGAATAAATTAAAATACAGTAATAAACATAGTGTATATAAAATCTTTCATTATGAAATTCTTTACAGAGTGTGAAATGTGACCAAAATAAAAATAATAACATTTCTAAAGGAGACAGCGTTAAACATATAAAAATGGTAATCCAGATTTAATTCAGTTGTTGAGGGGGAAAAAAAAATCTAAACTGTTTCTATGGCTGTTTGTCAGCAGAGGTAAGTATTTCAGGTGACTCGTCTTTGAAGTTGACTTATAATTCAGGCATGAACATTTGCGTGGTTAAATACAGTTTCTTCTGCACAGAGTAATCCGGAGTGATACAGTGGATTTTCTTTTTTTTTTTACATTTATACAGTGTTTAGACCTCACGTGACTGCTCAACAGTCGAGTTGATGTTACTCCTGCGGACCCGGTGCTTTCATGGCCATACTGGCACCGACCATGGTCTGATAACTCCGGTTCCGTCTTATCCCATCGGTTCCGAAAGGAGAGCCCGATCTACGCAGCCCGCCCAGAGGCCCCAACATGGGACCGGGACTCACCGCTCTGCCACCGGACGCTCCGGCTACTCCCAGTCGCTTCACCTTATCCAGGAGGTTGAGGTTGTGCACGCTGACACTCACATCTGTTTGGCTTTCGCAGTCCCTCCCTCGCTGCCTTCTGCTCATCCTCCCGGTCACCTCCTTCAGAATAGAGCGGGCGGGTTTCGACGCCAGGAAGTTGTCGTAGGACGGACTCTTGAAGTCGAACCCCGCAGACGTTTGGACAGCCGAGGCCGCGGATCCGGTGGGGGAGTTGGGAGGGGTGGTGGGGTGCAGGAGGTCGGGGTTGGGCGCGAGGTTCGGGGTAACGGAAGTGCTCAACAGGACTCCTCCAATGCCCTGAGCATGCTCAAGGCCCTGGCTGTGGTGATACACCGCCGCTGAGATCCCTCTCTCCTGGAGGAGGCGCACCAAACCCAGGGAGGTGCTGGTGGTCCGTGTTGCATCTCTGCATGATAGAAAAAGATTAAGAGCAAAGACAGATTCTCCTTAAAAACCATGTCTTGTTTAATGAGGATAAACGTTTTTGAAAAATGACTCCAGGTCTGGTAAAAAAAAAAAGCCAAAAGAAAATCTATGTAAGAGTCTTACCTGAGGTTAGTTGACGATTCAGAGGGCATGAGACTGAGCCTCCGAGGAGTGCAGGGTGTCACGGCCGGAGTTCCCAGCAGACTGCTGGTCATCACACAGGAGGATGACGCCAGGACTGGGTTTAGACTGAGGATAAGAAAGTTAAACGAAAGGCAGCTGCAGTTTGATCAGAAACATACCAAACTACCTAGAAAACTTAACACATTCCATCAAGATTATCCTCAATATTTGATATATTTTTCATTAGTATTTTATTGTCTACATCTTATAGTGTAAACAGCAACAAACCATTGCTTCCTTGTTCTTAATGATGGGCACAAATCGAGGACTTTGCTAAGCCGTACCGTAAAGCTAGATCCGAAACACTAGCGCGAGACTGACGCCACACTGTGGTCACTCAGTGATCCCTTGCTGCCCGCCCGATATTGTTGGCAATTTTGGGTTAAAAATGTTCTGCTCGTGAACCGAATTGTTCGAGGAAGGGTTTGACAACCGAGGTTCCATTGTATGTGTATATATGTTTGTATAAATATATACCATATATGGACTTCCTATGGAAATTTCAAAAATTCAAAAATATATATATATATAATTCTAATATAAATGTTCATTATATTATAAATAATAATAATAATAATAATGTTTCCATACTGACCTTGGTGTGACCCGGGTCTGTTCATCCGTTGGGTGGAGAATCCTACAGGTAGTAAAGGTGTAGGTGGAGCTGGTGTGGGCCATGCATTTACCCGGGTAGAACGCAGCTGACAGACGTGGAAAGAACAGACACAGAGATTTAACAGTGCTCTGCTACATCGTTTCACAGCAACACTGTACCGTTAAGGTTCCGTTCTCCTCACCCAGAGCGTCAGTGTTGCTGAGGTGCGGTGATGGCGATGGAGACGAAGGAGAAAGCGCAGCCAGGCTGTGCGGAGGCTGCCTGGTGATGTTTTCCGCCGTGCTCGAGGCGGAGGTTGCTACAGCCGGAGAGGACGTAGAGGTGGACGTGGGGAGATTTTGGAAGTACTGCTCGCCCGGTTCGTCCTCTTCAAAGCTACCCCATGGATAAACCTGCGTCCAAACAATGGATTTATTAGAATTATTAGAACAAATAAAAATACATTTTTATATGTATTTTATGAGTTAAATGTATCCTGGTAAGATAGCAGGAAATACACAGACCTGCTCCAGCTCTAGTTCAAGCGGTCTATAGCCCTTCGACACAACGCCGGGTGTAGGATCCAGGATGACGCCGAGGTGAGGTTGGGCTAACTGTTGCCAGTGATGTAGCGTGGCAGAACCTAGAGGAAGAGAGACAAAGAAATCAGCAAAAAACTCTTCAATCTCCTGCACTTTTGTTAGCGTTAAATTTAGAATAAGTAGACATTTGGTGGTTAGAAATTATTTTTTTCAAATTGGGGTAAAAAAAAAACAACCTGAAAATTGTTATACACAATCATCACCAGCAGAGGGCAGTCTAGGAAGTGATGTAAAGAGTTTTTTTTGTTGTTGTTTTTTTTTCTCCAAAAGTGACATCGTTTGATAGGATCGTATCATTAGCGTAAGCCTTTTCCCCCTTACCTTCGAGTGGTTTGACGATCTGCAGTTTGTCGGGGAGGTAGGGCCCCCGTGAGGCCCACACGTAGAGGTTTCCCAGGGACATGATGCTCTCCGAGGGTGTCAGCACACCCTCGTGGTTCAAAACGTCCTGCATTCCTCCTCCGTGCCCTCCCCGTCTCCGCTCCCTCTCCTCCTCGAAGAAGCGTCTCTCGCTCAGGTTGTTCTGTCGACGCAGCGACAGGCGACGTAGGGCCAGCCTCAGGTCCTCTGCACCGGTTCCTTTCTTTTGTCCACCTCCTGTGCTGCTGTCAGATGTCAAAGTAAAACGTTGTTGTGGGATTTTGTACGGCCGACTATACTGTGTTGTGGGATTTTGTACCGAGGACATGTCGGCCGACTATACCGCGCCGTCATTGAAAGATAATTTTTCAAAATAAAACAACTTTTAGACTTTACTCTGTTAGTATCAGGGTCGGAATGAAAGTAAAGGGATATGATTATATTATATATTATTATTTTGTGTCGGAATGAAAGTAAAGGGATATGATTGAATTATTTTGGAATGAAGTAAATGAGTAAAACTGAAGTACATTTTTCCGAAACCAAATTAGCTACGGACCGGCACTGGTCCCCGGACCTGGGGTTGAGAACCCCTGGCCTGTATTATGATGTAACCACTGTGACCACCATCTTATCGACACTTCTTCTCTCAAAAGTAGACGTATATTTGACTTCTCGTCTTCACCTGTCACGATCAGACGACGTCTCCATCAGGATGCTCTGCGTGCGGTTGTCCAGAGTGATGCCGAGGTCAACGCCGAGGTCTCCGCCGTACATGCTGGAGCGGGGTGTTGACAGGCCACTGGACTGAGGCGAAGTGCGAGCTGAGAGAGACTGGTTGGAGCCCGGAATGTTGGCACCAGTGGGAGTCAGGGAACGCTGGCGGACCGTCTGGTTGACATTCTTCACCGTCTCAAAAACGCGCTTACGATGGAGTCTGCAGACAGTCACAGGTACATTCATACACTCGTATCACTGAGTTAATCCCGAGCTCACAGGAAGCTGAGGCTCGAATGATTACACAACAGGTAAAACTCTACAAAATAAAAAAACCAAGACGAGGAAAGGTACTCGGGGTAACATTCTGTGTATTTCTACACAGAACGTTGAAGTAATTAATCCATACTTGTGTTCTTCGCAGTCTGGGTCTTCCAGACTCATCTCTTTCCTCATGGTCCCTTCAATCTCAGCAGCCAGAGAATCCTGCAACACAAATAACCATGAAGTGTGCAAGACGGTCAATCAGCACAGCGGTCCCTAACCTTTGGTGTACCAAGGACCGGCCAGTCAGTATCAGCCGTTACTCTGGACCAGTAATACCGCACCACCATTGAAGGATCATTAAATTTTCAAAATAAAACTTTTTTTTTCTTTTTTTTTAGTCTGACCCATTGTTTTGAAACATTACCAGATTATCTTTGAATGAAAAAATTAAAGGAGTATGACAGGATTTTTTAGAAATGAAGTGAATTAGTAAAACTGAAGCACATCTTTTCACTGTGTCCCATGACCTACGAACCAGCACCGGTCCCCGGACCGGGGGTTGGGAACTCCTAATTTAGCAGTCCCACACACTCACACACTCACTCCTTTACCATTGGGTACAGTCCCAGCGGGTGGTAGCGACGAGGTGTCCCCGCGTTGAAGTTCTTGTTCCTCAGGTTTTTCAGTTCCTCCTGAGCTTCGTGCAGCATCTCGATGCATTCCGAGTACTTTTCTTCCAGCTCCTGCAGCTGTTGCAGAAATTGAAAAAATAAAATATTCAATTTAAAAGCTCGTATGTTTACAAAGGTTAAAAGAGGTGAGATCGGTTAGCGGTGGAGGTGACGTGGGCTACTACCTCTGCGGTGAGCTGCCTCTGGGCATCTTTTGCCGCCAGCAGGTGCTGAGAGAGTTCTTCATTCTCCACTGCATACTGGACAAACATGTACAACGTGTAAATGGTCTGTCAGAACTCAAAAGAACGTATTTCCCAGTTTTTCCCGAGCGCATGTTTTCTCACTGATTTGGCCTTTTTTTGCAGATCCACAATCTGAGAGAGCAGGTGTGTGATCTCCTCCTGCTGTCTGGAAGCATCTTCAGTCTTCCGAGCCAGTTCTTCCGCTATGGTGGAAATCTGGAGACTGGACAGCCCTGAAAGAACACGGGCAGGCGGGAGTTTATTTCACCCACCGCCACTTCTGAGAAGGAAGCAGTCAAAACGACAAAACGATCGCAGCCTTCGGACTTACTCAGCTCCTTCACACAGTCGTTGACCAGCTGCTGCTCCTTCTCTTCGTACAATTCGGTCTCGGATTTTAAATGGTGAGCCTGAAAACGGACACGCAGGACGGATGATAGAATATCTCAGAATATGACGTGCATAACTGGTGGAATTTTATATGTGGAAAACCTCAGAGCGCAGCGTCAGGTTCTCTTCCTCCAGGTCTTTCAGTTTCCTCTGGACTGTTTCGCTGATGAAGCTTCCCGATGCGGCGTCCACGCTGTGTTTATGCCTTTATCAGCAAAAAAAAAAGAAAAAAAAGATCGTTATAAAAAAAAAAAAAAAAAGATGGTTTTATATTGATGTGAAACCAGTTTGATCGTTAATTAAAAAGAGGTTTCGCAACAGAGGAAAATGCTAACCTGGGGGAGCTGCCAAACTCCTCGCTCTCCTCCGCTGCGTTGGTGTAAAACTGCAGCAGCTCATCCTTCAAATTCAACTCATGATGCAGCTGGGCCACCTGGAGGGGTCAGAGGTCAGAGGTCGTATCAAATTCAGAACCAACTGGGGGTCGAAGTGTATGGACAGGATGTACTGAAAACGACATTCATTAAATATATCGTTAAAATATTAAAATCAAATCTATTCTATCTTGCAAAGCACAATTTGCAGAATATTTAATACAATGATAATAATAATACAATGAGAATTTTAATATAGTATAAATATTGTACAATATACAAATTGTACTTACAGCACCCTCTGCAGGACGTTGAGGGTACATCATGTGTTTTTATACAAATTTATTTTAAATCCTATCATTAAAGAACCTTTAATTGTTAAAACATTTCAATTATATGTTGTTTTTAATTGATTTTTTTTGTACTTCATTTAGTTTATTCTGGTTGTATTTTAATGCTGAGTCAATTTGTAATACAACAACTTGCCTATATTGAACATGCAGTTTGCATATACACACATATCCTATATATATATATATATATAATACTGTATATTCAAATTTATAAACATGATTTTTTTTCTTTTCTCTACCATTTTTTCTGCGTATGTGACAAATACAATTTTCTATCTTTTTTAATATAATGAACGTGGACAAACCTCCTCTGTGATTTGTCCCACTTGTAACTCCAAGTAGTCATTCTGCTCAGTCAAGGTTTGGTTCTTTTTGAGCAGAGATTGTCCAATCCTTGCAGCCAATTCCAGATCTCTTTCTTTCTAATAGTAAGAAAGCAAAAAAAAAAAAAAAAAGTAGAAGAAAATCAGGCATTTGTAGCTGAGGTATTGATGAAAATGCGGATATATACGTCTAATTTAAAAAAAAATCATTAGTAAAAGAATAGATCACATTTTGTAAACTACTTGTGAATCAGAGTGTCAGATACTTTGCACTACCTTTTGAATTTTTGAATAATTGATATGTAGTATAATGTGAAAACAAAGCAACCACAATCTTACGAGCAATAAGGTTCCAATTACAATTTAGCAGGTAATGGATAGATAGATAGATAGATACATAGCTAGCTCGCTAACAAGATAGATACATAGATACATAGATAGATACATAGCTAGCTAGATAGATAGATAGATAGATACTTTTAGATAAGTACAAATGTGTGCATTCAGGATCATTGTCAACAACAATTGTGGACAAACAGCAGCATTCCTACCTCCTCCAACAGACGTGTGACAGCATCGATGTCACTGTACGTCTTCGTCATCTGGCCCACTCTGTCTGCACATAGCACTGCGGGAACACAGAACACACAGGGCTGCGTGAGGAAACAATAACGTGTAACTGACGGGATCACGCTGTACCAAAATGGGTTTGACACCCCCTGTTTATAGGGATGCCACTATGAGAAAAAGGGAGAGAGAGAGGGTTGACATTGCTCCTCTTTACAGTATTTAATGCTGGAATTGCCAAACTTACAGAAGTATTTGAGTGTTTCTTCGATCTGCTCGGTGGTCAGGTCAAGCCTGGCGCCTGGTGCGACGAGGGGAGTGTGCAGCCAATCATCGTGGTCGTAGCCGTAGACGGTGTCGGCCCGCAAACGGTAAACAGGAAGCTGCTCCTCCAAAAGACTGATGATCTCGAACTCTGGCAAATCAGTGCTGTTGCACACATCTGACATCGCAGAGAGGACAGGGAGAGCAGAGTGAGGAAGGAGGAACTGCAGACGTTGGGCGTGGTTAAAATGTCTTAAAATGAATGTTTTTAAATATCAAGCAATATGCGTTACAGTTGATTGACTTCACCGTATTGGTCTGATACCAAAATGACCCTCCTGCCCAAACACAAACCTGTGATTGTCTCTGCGTCCCTGCAGTCCGGCGCCCCCTGACTTGTTTCAGGCTGGCTGTAGTCGCCTTCGCTTACATACTGTTCTTCATTAGGGTGCTGCGGCTCAGGATCGGGGTCTGGGTCCAGGTCAGGGGCCGGGGGCAGCGAGGGTGCTGGGGAGGCCAGCTTGGCTCACCTCTCACTCTTGTAGAGAAACTGGGGCCATGTGAAGCTGCAGAGGATTATCAGGTCAGGGCGGTCACCAGTGGACTGCACACCAAAACCTGCAGAGTTGGGGAGAAACGTAGCGGAGGGGAGTTATGTTTACGTACAAAGCTACGCTAACTTATGTGTCAAAGATGTTTACGTACAAAGCTACGCTAACTTGTGTGTCAAAGATGTCCTACATCTGTCTTTCTTTCTTTCTCCCTGCACAATCTTCAAAAACACTACCACTGCTGACTCCACTTCATGCTGCCTGCCAGCTGCTGAATAAATCACATCCTGTCCACTGCAGGAAGTGCTTCTCATCTGTCAGCCAATAAAGGCAGATGAAGGCAGATCAAGGCAGCACTGCAAATAGAGCGAGAAAATACACCAAAGAAAATGATATTTTTATCATTGGGGGCAATGACAGAGAGTATAAATATAGATCAGGGAGGGAAAGGGTTATGTTTTCTAAAGCTTCAATGCTTAAGTTTTTTTTTCTGTATGTTAGCCAATATATATATATATAGTCAATATATTAGTCAATTTTCAAAATAAAACATCTTTTAGAATTTAGTCTGTTAGTATTATTATAAGATATTAAACATTGTTTTATTAATATTATCATCCTGTTTTTTTCTGTATGTCCATGAGGTCCAGTTCAGTCAATAAATAAAATGTTGGTTGCTGATGTCATTGGTCAACAATCTGAATGCCCGTGGTCACATGGTCATACTCAGACATGTACTGTAGCATACCAACGAAACAAAGGGCTGCACAAACAAGAGATTAAAAAAAAAAAGTCACCTACATGGGATCACTGTACTTGGTAAGTTAAGCTAACATTTATGTTTAAAATAAAGGGCATTTTAGGCCAGTAGAGAACATTTGAATGAAATTAATGTAAAGACTTAATGGAATTTAAAAGCAAACTTTATGGTGAGGTTTGTGATAGAATACAGTTGGGCCAATCGTTGTGTTTTGGATGTACAAAAGTGGTAAACAGTGAGGTCAAACGTAAGGTCAAATTCAAATCGATATATTGCAAATTACTCCGTGTACTCAGTGTATGATAAAACAATGAACCATGGCCAGCTAATGTTGCTAGTAGTGTCCAGTGTGTTGATAACTAGGCCATCCTTCAGTCACGCGCATGTGACACTCACATTATTTCGTCAAAGTCAGCGGGCGCGGCTTCCTCCTCCACGCATCAGCAGAACGATGCAGATATCCGTTTAAGTGATGTCACTCAAAAAATAATTCAACAAATGTTCGAATCCGGTCCGCTGACCTTCTGATGCGCTACATCGCCATCGTGACCGTTTGTGTTGTTGCAGCGGTGGAACAGCGGTGGAGCAAGTGATTCAACCTCCAGTCTCGGTGACGGCGCTGACAGAAGATACCAGCCGGGCAGAGACTGTGCGTGTGGGTGCAGGCCGCTCGGGCGGTTCTCCTCACAGCAGCTACTGATAGTGAAGGTCACCTAATGTTCGAAGGTCTCCAATGTCGTTCTTCCTCACCCGCGCACTCCCTCTTCCCATCAGCCTCACCTCTCCTCCTGTCATTCCCTTCCTTCCCACTGTCTGCTTTCTCCGTCTTCTACAGTCAAGCCTACGTAACACCGGAGACGAAAACATTTCCTGTGGCAACTTTCAAAATAAATGTCCCCTGGGAGGACGGAAGCGCAGGACAATTTATTACATTACTTTAATAACTGACTGACTAACATAGCCAGCTAGCTTTTGTTAGCGTAAGAGCTATACGTCGTACTTTACAATGTATAGCTAATATATATTATATGTATATATTTAACAGTGTATATAATAGTATTGTACATTCGTTGGTATTGTATTGTTATTTATATTATTATCTCTATAAAAGGAATTAAACTAATAGTATCAACTATGCAAAGACAATACAGTCAGAGACATGCAGAAATGGCTGAGAACATGATTTAAATAACGAATTATTTTTTGAGAACATGTTTAAAAAACGAATTATTTTTGATATTGCCAACAACTGTTACTTTTTCTATATAAGAAAAATTATGAAAGGAATAATTAATTAATATCACAGCACTAAATTAAAGTACTTTGTAACAGCAATGTGCATGGACTGACTAAGCACAAATATGTTTGTAGTCCATTCTAGTGACCAATGGCCTGGACTGAATTGATAGCTGGGCTGAAAACAGAGCAGCTATTGTTCTCTAGGAAAGAAAAAAAAAAAAACTTGAATGAGTCTTTGTCCAAACAGCCATTGATGTCCCACACTGCCTAAACAAATCACAAGGCCATAGGATAAGGCCCATCCCACTCAACTGAAAGTGCTGCAACATTAAAAAAAAAAAAATACAAGTTAAAGACTGACATCATCCTTGTTCCATAGTGATGTGTGTTTATAGCATTGTTTCCCAAGGAATGGGTCGCAAAAGTTTTTTGTTTTTGGATCGTCTCGCATCATGATTCCCATAATGTTCCCCTGGATTTTATGAATAATCTCTAACGAGTTTACAAAGATGATGCTACACAAACAGGTATTTTAAAATTTTTTTTTTTACATGCATATCAGGGGAGAGCGCGAACGCAGTCCCCCACTACCAGAAATTATGCAGTCGAGATTCCCACATTTGGGGAATTCGCAGGGGTCAGCACAGCCGGAGTGCAATGGCTAAGCCTCGCCCTGGGTGAACCACCTTCTTGATCATGGTATCTCCCCTGCCAGGTAAGTATGAGTTGTACACGGTTCACCCTGACAACTCTTACACTCACAAACCCTTCTTAGTCATGGTCCTACCACCTACAAACTCACTCAAACACAGTCCATTCAGGAGCTTTGCTAGTGCATCTTCTCCTGCCACATTTTTCCCTTCCACTAGACTTTCCATTGATATGCTTGGACACAGCACTCTGTGAACAGCCAGCCTCCTTAGCTATAAACTTTTGAGGTTTACCCATCCTATGGAGGGTATCAATGATGGTCTCCTGGGCAGTTGTCATGTCTGCAGTCTTCCCCATATTGAACCGAACTGAGACAATACACTAATACACTAAAAACCTAAACACGATTCCCCCGTATAGAGCATAAAAAGCACTTCCGGTTTGTCCCTCTGTGTTCCATGTGGGAAACACAGAACACTGCCATCAAGTGGCCTGCCGTGCGAAGCGCAGCAGCGCAAGGGGATGTCTTAAAATACCAGGGGCGGACGGACAAACAACTTTACCCCGCGAGAGTTCCCGACAGGAAATGAATGCTGCAGCAGCAGTAAAGCTGCAAACCATGAGGAATAACACAAGAATAAAGACAGATGAAATACAATACAAACAAGAACACCATCAAAGAATATAAAAAACTAAACTACTAAACAGTGGTTATTAGTGGGTTAGTAGAAGTAGATGCGTGGTAGTAGCAGCAGTTGTAGATTAGTAGCTAATTATTGTTGACAATGTGAAATATGTTAGACGATGTCAAAATCATTATCCACCGTGCGAAGCGCAGCAGCGCAAGGGGATGTCTTAAAATACCAGGGGTGGACGGACAAACAACTTTATCCCTCGAGAGTTCCCGACAGGAAATGAATGCTGCGGCTGCAGTAAAGCTGCCATGAGGAATAACACAAGAATAAAGACAGATGAAATACAATACAAACAAGAACACCATCAAAGAATATAAAAAACTAAACTACTAAACAGTGGTTATTAGTGGGTTAGTAGAAGTAGATGCGTGGTAGTAGCAGCAGTTGTAGATTAGTAGCTAATTATTGTTGACAATGTGAAATATGTTAGACGATGTCAAAATCATTATCCACGCGTGGTTTAATCTTTCTGCTCGGCAGAGCCACACTTTTCATAACGACAGTACAGTCTACGGCTGCGCAGTACACACACATACACACTTTAGTTTCCTTTTGAAATTCATAAATAACACAGAGCGTCAACAGAACGAGTGAAAGGTAATACTTGACACAATGTAAATACCATGGAACGGAAAATGTACAGTGTTGACGATCTGAGCAAGAGAACTGTTTGAATTTTTGTTTCACAGCTACAGGGGGTGCACCGTTCCTGGAGGTACTGCAATACCAGGTCGATGCGCGGAGTGGACGGAGCAAGCCCCTATTCCATCTCCCTGATCCAAAAATCAATTTAATATATGGTCCCCGGGTAGGGGACGTATCAGATATTAAACTGATAAGAACAGATACTACACTTGATCTTAGCCAAAAGGCCGAGAAGCGATAACGACACACCCCTGCTCTACGCTCATACTCTCCCTCAATGTCGTTTTAAGTCATGGGTCAAATGTTTAAACGTTAGATAAAACTTAACCGTAGAATTAGCGGAGCCACATGTACAATTAATGACTAAAAAAGGATCCGCTATAAACATAGATAAAACTTAACCGTATAATGATCGAAGCTACAGGAACAACTGACGACTAACTCAAATAGGAGCCGCTGTAAACATACGTAGACAAAAACATTTCACGTTGCCAAATCGTGTCAGTTGTTGTAAAATACTAGATCCCTATCCATTCCAAAAAGTTGAGGACCGATGCTTACGATTACAAGTATAAATGCTCTGTCTCGTTCGTGCACCCGGAGGTAATTATAGACCAAAACACAATATATGTACGTCACAACAATACCGCAACAGTACACAAACTGTGCAAGTTTAATGTTAATACTTCGTCCAGTGACAAAGTCAAATGCAGCATTGGGCCCCTCTGCTGGTTCACTATTGTAACTGCACCACAGCGCATGATCACATGGACTGCTGTTAAGTAGTGATGTGCGGATCGATCCTGAAATATCGATACTTCCGATTCTGGATCTTTATGCTCTGAAATCGATTCTGAAATCAAAATATCGATACTTTTGATACTTACGCATTCTGAGATGAGGTGTATCCTAAACAGAAACATGGTGAAAAGTATCCAAATTATTGAGATGTTGTCTAAGTGACGCTCGGTTGGTGGGACTACT